CTAGTGAAGGAGACTAGTGAAGCACAACCACTGGGCAGAGTGGATAAAGAGAGAAGAGCAGAAGCATGTTGACAGAGATGCTGGTCTTGGGAGGACACAAGCTAAGAGGAGTTGAAGTTCCTAACTTGTGGCTCCAGCAGCTCACAGCTGGACATCAACAGCTGCTGAACTTCTTCATAATTTTAGGTTTTTAGGTTGCACTTGTCCCAAATGTTGCGAAGCTGCAATCAATTCTTTTTGGATTAATCGATCAGCTGTTTGATAGAAAACGTGATTCAGAGTTTCTTGTTTAGTCAAAAGATGTTCAGTTTACTGTCACAAAGGAAAGAAACCAGAAGACACAGACTGGTTACCTGTCCAGGTGAACCTGCCTTCATCCTCAGTCACCTGGGATAGACTCCGCCCCCTAGTGAGGATGAAGGTGTAGAGATGACGGATGGATGGAGACGTCCTGTTCAGACTGTTGGTAGAGCTCATCTTATCTGAACAGAGCTACATTATGCACCGATATCGGAGTGATTTTATCTTCAGTCGATTCAATGAAACGCAGAGAAAAAAAGTGAACGCTGAAAATAAAAGTTACAATAAAGATTCATACATCCACACGGATCTGAACCTGCTCGACTTACTCAGATGATTGTGCTGAGTTTTATGAAAGCTTTCTGACATGCAGAGGAAACAGTCTGCAGGCAGAGCAGCAGCAGAACCAAGAGACGTGTTCAGGAGAAGAAATACAGTCACACTGGACAGAGACCAAGACCCAAGACAAGAGGCATGAGAGAGAGAGAGGTGGAACAAACTCACCGACAGGACATCGCGTGGACTCAACTGGACCGGACTGGTGTTAAACTGGTGTTTAACTGGTGTGTAAGTGGAGGCGATGGCTGAACAGGCCTCCTGTGTTTCTGTGTGATGATGGCCAGCAGTGACTCTCAGCTCCTCATCCATTCATGTGCAGCTTCAGTGTGTCCTGAGCAGATCTGAGGCTTCATCAGCTGCCCATCCTCCCGTCCTGTAATTTACTCTCATTTTCCTAATTACTCGACTATCTCTGGGAGAAAATGTGCGTCTTCCTGCTGCGTCTTCCTTCGACCTCTCTGGAAACTGACTCTGCTGCACATTTGCCTCCATGTAAATTCCACCTCATGTTTCCAGGATACATGCAAAGTGTGTCGGGTCTTTGTGAACCACATTTGTTTTGTCTGAACAGTCACATTTTCCTAAACTGGTGTCAGCATCCACACGGCTTTCTTAGCGACAAATGGAAGGAGAAACCTGCAGAAATGAGCGGATGTGTGTAAATAAAGCAGCCGACTGAGTGGTTTCATGAGTATTCAGAAGAGACGTAGTCCTGAGCTGTGGCCCTCAGGCAGCACTCCACCAACACCAACACCACCACAGCAACGAGTGGATCTGCAGAAGGACAGAGTTCAGCAGAACCAGTCCAGCACAAGCTGCACTCAGAAAACTTGTTCAGTCCTTTCAAACAGTCGTAGACCTGCAGCTCTCTGACGTCTGTCAGGTTTCTTGTTTTCTGTTAATAGCTGCAGAACATTTGGGCATCAACGAATGTGACACATTCAAAACTGACCTGCTGATGAATTCAACGTGAGTGGGACATCAGTGTCTTCACAACAATCCAGACTGTAGTTTGTTTCACTGGAAACAAACTCGTGGTGGCGCTAGAGGAGCAAACAGACGTCTGAACACCGTCTCACAGCGATTCATCAAACACCTGAAGGCCAAAAGCCACTTAACACTCTGTATAGAACCAACCAGCAGGTGGCGCTGTGAGTCTAAAACCATGTTGGCCAATCAGAAGCTTGAAAAAAAACAAAAGGTTCTTCTGGTTCCACTGGACCCACTTGCGTCCAGCTGATACATTCATCTCAATAAAACGTCCGATTTCAGTCGATATCAATAATTATTGATCATTTCAATGATCAGCGACCAGAGCCAAGCCACGCACCACCTCGAGGTTCAGTGTTCAGAGTGTTCAGTCTGGGCCGGGTCTCAGTGGACGCAGACCCCAACCCGACCTCCAGAACTCTGACATCAAGTCTGTCAGCCCTCAGAGCAGCTGCTCAGCTGGACGTGATGGAGGACAGGAGGTTCTGGAGGTTCTGGACCATGATGGTCCTCCAGACGACTGGAGGCCTGCACTGAAGCCTCAGGGTGAGGAAGGATGGAGGTCTGTGACCAGGGACATGATTGGCTGTTTGTGATGCAGCATTTCCTAATTCTTTGTGGTCTTTTCACTCATTTCTATGAACTAAAATGTACCAGAAATGAAGGCAGGTGACCTCGTCGGCCCCCAGTCACTTCCTTTGCATTTCCACTGACGAAGAACCTGTGGCTGCTGTTCTGTCTCCTGCATGTGTTGACTGATCAGCATGCCATCAGATTTCCTGTAGATTTACATGTAAACAGGTAAAAAGTGCGTCAGCAGGCTCACAGCAGCACTCTGTTCACCACCACTGTCATGATGCAACACCACAAACCAGAACCCGCCATCGGTCTTCAGGGTTCCTTCATCAGACACAGAACTGCGTTTGTGTGGATGAACCGCATCAAAAAGAAAAGTTATTCATGAACACAAAAACCTGCTTTAAAATATTCAACAGAAAACCTGAAAAACTGTTGAGTTTTTATTGTAGTCCATAAAAACAAACAGCAACGATAGAAACAGCGAGGTGGTAACCATAGTAACCAGAGTCAATCATGTAAAACAACAGACAGTAAGAAATTAAATTAACTTAAGATTTCCTTCCTTCTCCAAACCTGCTGCATGTTTCAGGAGACTTCTGGTCTGTGGAGGAATGTGGAGGTGCTGGTCGGGCTCAGGCGGGCCCGACAGGACGGGTGGGTTCAGGACACACACACACACAGAGGTAACAGATATAAAAGTGACAGTAACAGTCTGTCTGCAGTAGAGACGCACATCTATATGCCCGGGTTAACACACGCTCTCACACGGCGAGGACAAGACTTCTAAAAAACCTTCACAAGTTCCTAAAGGTGAAAATGACACAAGAAAATCCCTCGAGTAGTTTAATAAAAGTTACTACAAAGCACCGGTAAAGTCCAAACATGCTGCTTTTCTGCGTCTGTCCTCGTCTGCTTCGTGATACATACAGGTGACTCGGCCGGCGGCAGGACGGAGGACGACCGAGTCTGATCCCAGTGAGGAGAAGGAAGTGACGGTTCATTGGCTCCCGTCCGACATGTACACGTCCAATCAGAGTCCAGCAGCCTGGTTCCGAGGGTCCGGGGTGGGAGGTGGTGCAGAGCGAGGACGACTAACCTGACTGTGCTGTACATGGAGTTTGAGGGGGAGGAGTCTGCTACATGGCGGTGAGGTCAGGTGACGGGTCAGCGCGGCACCTGCATCTGCTGCGAGCCCTGCGATTGGTTCTGAGCGGCGACCTCGGGGCCGCGGCTCGCCAAGCGGCTCAGGATGTTCCTCTCGGACATCTGCAGCCGCACGGCGACGGGAGGAATCCTGGCGATGGTCGCCGGGAGACGAGTGACGTCAGCCTTCATGTCGCTCAGAAGCTCCTCGAGCTGTTTGAGAACTGAAGACACGAAACAGAGACCGCAGTGAGGAGACTGAAAATACACCAGATGTGTTTTTATTACGGGGCTGCACGGTGGATCAGTGGCTAGCACCGTCGCCTCACAGCTAGAAGGTCGCCAGTTCGTCCCATTAAGACGCCTGGGATCTTTCAATAATTCTAATTTGATTTGATTTAACACGAACCTCAGTGAAGGAACACGAGACAGGAGCAAAGACAAAGCAGCGCTCTTGTCACAAAACAACAAACTGTGTGAAAACTAACTGAACACTGAAGTAGATGTTGGAGGTAGGACTAGATGTTGGAGGTAGGACTAGATGTTGGAGGTAGGACTAGGCGGTGTGCAGATGATGGATGGATGGATGTTGGAGCTCCACTGCATCCATCTATCTGAAGGCTGTTTCATCAACGTGTTTCCAGTGAACTATTCAAACAGCATCGTTTCTCTTCTGTTGGAGGCCGTTTGTTGCATCATAGCAGACAAAGACGAGACGCTCCTTCACACGGACACAGAACAAAGCTGGAAACAGGAATCTGCAAATATCCCTTCTGATGATAATCAATCGTTTATACTGTGGAAAACATTAACGAATGTTTCCCTTCAGACTGTGACATAACCCAGTCCTTCGCTTTATTCTGACGTCGTGGTCTGCAGGTGAGCAGCAGGTGAGCTGCAGGTGAGCAGCAGGTGAGGCTCATGTTCCTGTTTCCTGATGCTACAATGAAGAAGCGTCTCTGTTCATACATGGAATAATCTATTTTTACCCGTTTGTGGTCGTGTTAGCAGCTATTATTAGAACATGTAAATATGTGTATTTCCATAGCTGCTGCTGCCTTTTCCCTGCTGTGACACTGAAGGCAGCACTTCTCAACAACAAACTGTTCACTGGAAGAGAAACTGATGCTGGAACAGTGAAGATACGAGCAGAGCAGCCGACATGGAAACCTCCAAACCCTCCACACAGGAGGGAATGGAGGAGCTCAGAGCAGCTTCATTCTGCTGATGGACACAGCAGACGGTCAGGATTCAGGCTAACGTGTGATTACTGAGCCCACAGTTCAGGACAATTAAATCAAAACTTCTACATGATCTAAGAGGATTTCTGACTCCAGCAGTCGGTCATTTTAATCCGGTGGAAGCTGTTTCCATCTCTCACACAACAACCAGTCAGTCAACTACTGAACGAACCACAAACTGCTTTGACTACCGATCACCAGAGTGAACTATCTCTGGACTCTGGTCCACATCTTTCATCATTTTCTGACATTTTAGAGACAAACAGCTGATCGATTGATCCAGTAAACACAACGACGAGCTGCTGCTCTCCTCACAACAAAGTCATTATTATGTGTTTCTATTAATGAGCTCAAAGATGAGACTGTTCATGACGGCTTCAGTGTTTTCATATTTCAACTCCCCCATAATCACATAACTGATCTAGAGTCCGATATGACAGGTTCTGGATCAGTGACACGATGAGAACTAACAGAGAACATTCCAGGTTTGATCTTTAATAGTTCCTCACATGTTGTTGTTCAGACAGACTCAGATTTAATCAGAATAAACCTGCTGGACGTGTTTCAAAAACATTTTCTCAGAAAGAGTTTCATTTATGAAGTTAGAACTTTTAATAGTTTATGATGAAGAAGTTTAAATAAAACCAGAGATTTTTGAGCAGAAGGACCCTGATGAAACAGAAGAACTTCTTCTGTCTTACAGTCTGAGACCCGTCGTGTCCTCTTCCAGGTGTGTTACCTGCTTGTAGGTGTGTTACCTTTGTGCAGCACAGCGTTGGCGGGTTTGTTTCCGGACATGGACTCCTTGCTCAGGTGCTGGTGGGACTCGGCCAGACACTCGACCTCGCTGAAGCGGGTGTTGAGGGCCATGGACGGGTGCGCCGGGTCCTCGGTCATGTTCAGGTAGGCGGCCCGGCGGAGCTGCTCCTCGATCACCAGCGCCTGCTCCAGCAGCTGCGAACACAGAGGCGACCAATCAGACATCACGCAGACACTCGGGGGAGGTCACGTGACCAGGAGCGCTGCTTCACCTTGAACCTGCGAGCAAGAAACTTGTTCTTGATCTCCAGGAAGTTTCCTCTGCTCATCTCGCCTTTGAAGGGCTCGTTCAGGATGGCGAACCTCACGTCGTTCTGCACGTCCTGCCAGCGAGCGTAGCCGTGTCTGAGCGCCGCGTCAGGACCAACAACCTGAGGACGGACGGTCCGATGGGGACTACACCTGAGGACATCTGTCCTTTACCACCGCTCACAGATGTCTGCACAGAGGCTACTTTCTAAAGCTACAGCTTACAATGTCCCCCTAAATGCATCATGCATAGACTAGCAATAGGTGCCACCCCCTGAACCGATGGTCCCTGAACGCCTCACAGTCTTCAGTAGACATCAGCTAACTTCACTGAGCTCTGATGGTCCCACATCTTTATTCTCTGCTCGGTTCTCCTACAGACTCTACAGCAGAGCGTCTGAAGTGACGGTGGTTCTGAGCGGTTCTGTTTGAAGGATACTGGATGATGCCGGCCAGCAGCCAGTAGTCATGGCGCCGGTGCCAGATCTCGAAGGTCTTCTTGGTGACGGTGGCGGCTCTTTCCTCGTTCTGCCACAGAGAGTGGAGTTCTGAAAGGAGATCGGACGGGTCAGAACCAGCAGCACTGAAACAGAACAAAGAGCAGGGAGAACAGAGAACCCACCTGTGAATCCTCCGTCTGCGATGTTGAACATGAACCTCTGCTTCGTCGCCTTCTTCTTCTCCTCGCTGACGTTGACCGGCACCGCTCCTCCTTCTTTGGTGTTTTCTCCGTTCTGCAGTTTGCCAGAATCTTCTGCTTTCACTGCATCTTTCTCCTCTTTTTGTTCTGCAGGAACACAAACATGTCGGATGGTCTCATTCACATCAAGACATTAAACAGAGGAAGCTACTAGAAGGAGGATGTCTCCAACAGCTTCCTGCTGAAGCAGCTCTGGGTGATTTTGTACCTTTTTTCTCCTCCGATGGAGAACTCGTGTCCATCTTCTCATCTTTGCGTTCATCTGCATAGACAACAGAAGTTCGGTTACAGACTGAAGCTGTGAGACGTCAGACACTGGTCTACATGTACTAGAACACAGCTGACGTGTCTCTGCTCTAGGACAGGTGAGAACGTTCTACAGCTCCACACGGTGCCAGCAGGATGCCGTCAGTGACACCTGGATAAGGAGGTTTAGGAATGAGCTGCTACCACGCCCTCAGATAAACCTCCATCCATTCCTGTGAATAAACCTGTGAACTCCCGTCACTGAAACATCGTCTCACCTTTGCTTTTCTCCTCCTCTGCCTCCATCTTTGCCTCCGAAGCTTCACCCTTCACCTCAGAGTCTTTCTCTGAACATTTGTCCTTCTCCTCTTTGTCTTTGCTCGAGTCTTCGGCCTCCTTGCCTTCGTCTCCATCCGTCTCCTTTTCTTTCTCCTCCTTCTCTGCAGCAGCGTCCACTTCTTCTTTCTTCTCAGGAGATTTTTCAGACTCGTCTGGAATTTCAATAATCTGCAGACGAGAAGTTTTAATTAGTGACACAGTAAATTCCAGCACAGTAACTGGCACTGATGTTAAATCAGCGCTTACCTCTGGATCTTCGGCCTTCTTGGCTGCTTTACTGTCGTCTGCCTCCTTCTTCAGCTCGTCTTTGTCCTCAGATTTAGACAAATCCTCTGAAAACACACGTTAGCGACACACAAACTGTGTTTACTAATTGAAATCCACATTTAATGTCTGAATCTTAAAAATGTTTCTGCGGGTCATTGATGAGCTGAAGGTGGTGGTTCCGTCTGCGTCCACTGGAGGGCGGCAGACTGAACATCTGTCAGTCCAGGTTAAAGTCACAGCTGGATCCAAGTTTAAATGTAGAATCTATGTGTTGGAGTTCAGCCTCCAGCTCCTGTTTGTTGTGTTTGAGTTCAGGTCAAACTGAGGTTCCGTGTTCCTGCTGAGAGGAAATGATGCTGCAGACCACGTCGGTTTCAACACTCAGACCAGCAGCAGGTCCGGCAGCCACGTGTCACATAAGAATCATTCTAAAGGGTTTTAATGTCTCCGTACTGCTTCACACAGTTGGGCAACAGCTGTTATGAACAGTTCTGCTTGTTGATTCTGGTTCTTAGCAGCTCTTAGTTCCACCGGAGGTTAGAATGACTTCAACAGTTCAATCTAGATTTTATTTAATAAGCTGATGACATCATAAACTGTTCAACAGTCCCAGGAGGCTTTTCCTGCTAAGACTACTCGAACATCATATCTCAACAACTTCCCTGAGGTTCTACCAAAGGGATCAATAAAGTCCTATATCTATCTAGTTCTATCTATATCACAGTAATGGTAGTACTGCTGAAGTACCACCAGTGTAATAGTACTGAAGTACCACCAGTGTA